GGTTGATCCACTCTGAGAAGGTGCTATTTAAGAGACTGAGCTGAAAACAGCACCTCAGACTGAAGAAGTCTCTCGGACGAGAGACGAAACGTTTCTACATTTTTTGTTGTTTTGCTTTGTTTTGTTTTTTTTTGAATGTCCAGAGGACCAGATTTAACTTTTTTAGATTTTTCTACCTGGATTATTGAGCATGCATCAGGATGTTATCAAAGTGCTTACCAAAAAAGATCACAGCATCAAATATTAATAACAACATATTATATTACAGCAACATGAATAAAAGCATAAAAACATGAAATATAATGAGAAACAATGAAATACTAAATCAAATCACCCTGCGTTAAATGGCAGGGCGTAAAAGCAAAATGGAAGAACACAATCATCAACAACGAAATACCAAATGAGATCACACTGTGTTAAATGTCAATGAGTACAGATGTGTCAGTGAGTACAGATGTGTTTTGAGGAGAGATTTAAAAATAGAGACTGAGGTGGCCTGTCGAATGTTGATGGGCAGATTATTCCAAAGTTTAGGGCCCATGACTGAAAACGCCCGATCTTTTCTGAGCTTCAGCTGGTTTTAGGTACGGCCAAAAGCAGCTGGTCTGATGATCTCAAGGCCCGAGAAGGAGCATAAGGATGAAGGAAGTCTGAGAGGTATAAGGGTGCAAGGCCATTAACACACTTAAATGTCAGCAGAAGAATCTTAAAATCAACTCTGACACGCACAGGAAGCCAGTGAAGGGAGGACAGAACTGGAGTAATGTGCTCAATCCTGCGAGTTCCTGTTAGTAGCCGAGCTGCAGCATTTTGGACAAGCTGGACACGTGAGAGAGAGACCTGACTGACCCCAGCATAAAGTGAGTTACAGTAGTCCAGCCGGGTTGTAATAAATGCATGGACTAATTTTTCAAGGTCAGATCTGGACAGGACGGACTTGAGCTTAGCTATCTGCCTTATCTGAAAGAAGCTTTTTTTGAAGAACAGAATTTATCCGCTTATTAAACTTAAAGTCCGAGTCTAAAACTATCCCGAGATTGGTAGACTGTTTTAGATGTGGCTGAAGGGAGTCCAGGTTTGCAGGATCAGTGACAGTGGCAGAGCTAGGGTTAAACACAATGATTTGTCTTCTGATCATTAAAACTCAAAAAATTTGCAGCCATCCACGTCTTGATGTCATCAAGACATTTTAACAAAGGGCGAATGGAGGAGGAACTGTTAGGTGTTAACGGCAGTTAAATCTGAGAGTCATCAGCATAACAATGAAAGGAAAGACCATGTTTCCTCAGGATAGACCCTAAGGGGAAGAAATACAAAGAAAACAGAAGGGGTCCAAGAATGGAGCCTTGTGGGACCCTGCAGGAAAGAGGCACTGAAGTAGATGGAGTGTTAGCAAAATTAACACAGAAACTCCTGTCGCTCAGGTATGAATGGTATCAATTAGTTTTACTGCAATTAAATTGTCTTAAATGAGAAAGTTGTTTTGTTCATTAGTGATGAAATTTTGCAGTTCAATTAAAAAAAAACTCAGAATTAGACAAGTATTTTTAAAGGATGAGTAACTTTGTTGATCCATTAAATCCATTGATGAGGACAAATTTCTGTCATAAGCGTGAGAAAAAGTTCATTTTCTTTAGCTGCTCACATACTCATGCTGAAAAATGAAGCACACCTTTACTCCCAAAGAGGAAGCCAGCAGAGATCCAGAGTGTTTCCCTGACCTTTTGCCCCGTCAGCTTCTTCCTCCTCCTCACTGTGCTGCCAGCTGACCCAGGCGTGTCTGCCGTTTCACCTGTGCAGGTGTACGTCACAGCCGGCCACTCGTTTGAGCTGGAGACGAAGCTGCAGCGCCTCGAGCGAAGCGCCAAGAACCGTTTGGGAGGAGCGACAGACTCCGAGCTGTCCGAGCTGTCCGAGCTGGAGGACGTGGTGGCCCTGACCGCCGCCAGGGTCCAGAGCGCCGAGAGCGAGGTAGTTCTCACCCATGCTTGGTTTTTGTTCTCATCTATAGAAACCCTTCAGTGGTGGTCCTTTTAGAGTTAAATGAAACTTTTTCAATTTGATCATTTTTACTACTTATATTAATTTAAGCACGTGCGACCGTGAAGTTTTCAGATGATTTCATCTGTTTTACCTGCAGGTGTCGGACATCGAGAGTAAGCTTGCAGCTCTGAGCGCCAAGAAGAAGGTCAGTCCGAGTCCTCACCCATCTAACTTAATATGGTCTGGGCAGAATGTTCATGCTGGAAATATGTGAATGGGAACCTGTCTAAATAAAGGTTAAATGAATGTGAGCTCATACAATGAAAACAAAGAAGGGCGTGACCTCTGGAGCTCCTCCCACTCTGGAGGAAGACATTACCATGTTTACTAGAACTCCCAGGGATGTGTCCACCAATCATTCTGACACCGGGGGGGTTAAACAAATTAAATGGACTAAATTACAAGTAGCGTTAGCAACAAAACAAAACTGATCAAAGTAGTGATGAATAGTAACCTAAAAAAGAAATATATTTACACCAACAAACTTAACTCCAAAAAAGCTCAATCTGGTCCTCTGCACATTTAAAAAAAAATAAAAAAAATGTAGAAACGTTTCGTTTCGTCTCTCATCCGAAAGACTTCCTCAGTCTGAGGTGCTGACCACTGACCACCTCTACTGCATCAACAGGAATGCACGTAAAGAGTGATGTGACATCAAAAGAGACCGTAGAGGCGGTCATTTTAAGATTAAAATCAGACACCACTCTGAGCAGCAGGACCACGCTTTCCACAGAACAACTGTGTCAACTCTTGAAACTGTGCCTGCAGTCAACCTACTTCACATATGGGGAGCAATATTATAGGCAGAAACATGGGTGTGCTATGGGGTCTCCAGTTTCTCCTATTGTTGCCAACCTGTACATGGAGGAGATAGAAAAGAGAGCCTTGACGTCCTTTTCAGGGACACCACCAAGTCATTGGTTCAGGTATGTTGACGACACCTGGGTTCAAATTAAATCTCAGGAAGTCCAACATTTTACTGACCACATCAACTCTGTGGATAAATACATCAAGTTCACACGAGAAGATGAAAAAAATGGCAAGTTGGCTTTATTGGACTGTGAGGTCTCAGTCTCTGATAGAGGACATTTGCAAACCGAGGTGTACCACAAACCCACCCACACAGACCAGTATTTGCAGTTTGACTCCCATCACTCTTTGGAGCACAAGTTAGTAGTCATCAGGACTCTGTATCACAGAGCAGACAGCGTCCCCACTAGCTCGGGAGCCAGGCAGAAGGAGAAATCCTACACAAGACAGGCTCTAGAGCAATGTGGATATCCTAACTGGGCCTTCCTGAAAGAAGAGAAGAAACCCAAACAGGACTCCAGTCAGCCATCAGGTGAAAAGGAGGAACCCAGACCCAGACCAGTGGTCATTCCGTATGTTGAGGGAGTATCAGAGAAACTGAGACGTTTATTTTCTAAACACAACGTCCCAGTGGCTTTTAAACCCCAAAATACATTACGGCAAAGACTGGTTCATCCCAAAGATCCAGTCCCCCGGCACAAACAGAGTAATGTTTGTATGCTGTTCAGTGTCAGGAGGGTGATCAGTCTTACATCGGGGAAACTAAACAGCCACTGGCCAAAAGGATGGACCAGCACAGAAGATCAACATCATCAGGCCAGGACTCTGAGGTCTACACTCATCTCCAGGCCAGCGGTCACTCTTTCAGGGATGAAGATGTGCACATCCTGGACAGAGAGGAACGATGGTTTGAGAGAGGAGTAAAGGAGGCCATCTTTGTGAAAAGAAACCGTCCATCATTAAACAGGGGTGGAGCCTCCGGGTTCAACTGTCCCCCTCTTACAATGCTGTGATTGCTAGTATCACTCAGCCCTCTGTGAACAGTAAACAGCCATCAGTGTGCTAATGATCCATTGTTAGGCTGATGGTACTTCTTGAGCATGTAAGCAGCTGGTTCTGGTTGTCAGCAGCAAAACTGGTTGATCCACTCTGAGAAGGTGCTATTTAAGAGACTGAGCTGAATACAGCACCTCAGACTGAGGAAGTCTCTTGGATGAGAGACGAAACGTTTCTTTTTTTTTTTTTGAATGTCCAGAGGACCAGACTGAACTTTTTTGGATTTTTGTACCTGGATTATTGAGCATGCATCAGGAACAAACTTAACTAATAATTAATTATTTAACTTGTTCCTCTGCTGACATACAACATGGTACAGCCCAGTTAGAAAGCTCTCCAGATGTGATGCAGCTGAGCTGTGTACAGGGAGGGGCAGGACTACCAGCAACATCCCCACAGCAACCGGCAACTCAAAGCAACAAACATTCAATTACTGCAAAGAGCAAACTGCAGGAAGACCTGACAAACAAAGCGACCTCGCTGTGAGCGCTCCAGGTAGTTACCGATATCAAATGTTGCTAAACTACAGAAATGCTGTTAATGAACTTAGCTGATGTAAACTGGTGCATATTTACAACCAGCCCAGAACTTCAGGTCCCAAACGTATGAGCTCAAGCTGAGTTTAGTGTGCCAGGTGTGAGCATGCAGGAATGGAGGTCATCCACTGAGACCAGCTCCTGTAAAGCCCTCCTCTGTGGAGTCTTCCACAAACTGGTTTGCTCCAACAGTTTCTCTTTACCACTCTGCCATAAAGCTCAGACTGGTGAAGAACTCTGGCAACAGTCATTGTATGTTCAGTCTCCCATCTCATCTGAGCTTTGTCACTCCGTCAAACTGGTCTCAGGTGTCTTGGTGGTCTCACTCAGTATCCTCCTCCTTCACAGTCTCTCAGCCTGTGAGGACGATCTGCTCCTGGTAGATTCACGTGTCCCATATTCCTTCCATTCCTGGTGGATCCAGCAAAACTCCTGGGGATGTTTCATGTTTAGACATTGGAAGTCTATTTGATCGGGGAAACTTTCATTTGACTTGAAAGCATGTTTTTTGTGAACCTCTGCAGGTTTTTGGATCTCATCAGAAGAAGAATACCTCACCAGATTTACCCAGTAAGAACAAGTTTTCAACAAACCAGAACTGGTCTGATAAAGTTTCTAGTTGTAAATTATAAAGAAAACATTAAAGTTCATGAGTGCGTTTATCCTGAAAATATTTAAATCTGGTTCTTCTTTTTGACAGAAACTAACGGCACCACATGGAGATCAAACATGTTCTGATCCAGAACCAACCAGTCCAGGATCTGCTTGCTCCCCTTCCTCACGCACAGACCTGTAGCCACCACTGTTTTCATGTCAACGCCAGGAAACAAAGACTGAAAAGTTTCAGCTGAAACGAGTCATTTCTCTGATGAGTTTAGATCAAATCAGCTGAAGTTTCTGCAGAAACCAACCTGTCATATTTACTGCCTCTGACAGTGAGAGCTCACGACCTCATGAACTTCCTGGTGTTTGTTTTACGTTTCATTATGAGAGGCAGCAAAATTATTAGAATTTGTTCCTGTTATTATTCTAGTGACTCATAAAACTTCAGCAACTCTGGTGAACAAACCCAGAGATTCAATCAGATCCTCCCAAACATCAACGTGGTCAATGTTTGTCCGGAGCGTTGGATCGGACTTCCATCCTCTTCTCAGCGTGTTCAGATCAGGAAGTGCATCTTGGCTCAAATTATATCGTAGTTCCACCTTCGGAGACAAGTGTCTTAGCATAATGTGATCAATCAGTCTTTAGTAGAATCTGGCTGCCGCTGCTTACCGGTTGCCATTTTTGATTTTTCTGTACAGTTTGTGAAGAGTTTCTGTGCCGTTTGACAACGGACGGATTAAGATGTGGATCCACAGGGTGTGTGTGTGTGTTCTGTGCTCACCTGGGCTGTTTTATCCATCGTCCAGCACCTGGTGACTGCTCTCCTTCAGTACTCTGCTACTGAGCTTCTGCGACTGCTTCCACCTGGCTGTCCCTTCACCTGTTGCTCTTCACCTCCATCCGGACATCGCTTTTAATCCCTGCTGAAAGTACATCCACCGAGGGTCCCGGCGACACTTCAACATCAATGACACTAACTCAGTGGAATCCTTCTGGTCCAGAACTCGTCGTCCTCCCCGTAATACTGACCGGGCTGTCAACCACAATGTGTTGGCCCACCTGGCCAGGTTGGCTAATCCTACCATCAAGCATCACAATTCTTACATAAACTTCGGTCTATAAACGTCCGCTCTCTCACTGGTAAGGGACAGCTCATCCAGGATCTCCTTCTCGACTGCAAGTTAGACTTTCATTGCTTGACTGAAACGTGGCAACATCCCAATAACTTTGTTTCCCTCAACGAGTCAACTCCACCGGAGCTGGTTTACATCTGTCACCCTCGCAACTCGGGGAGGGATGGAGGTCTTGTGATAATTCATCAGAAGCACTGGAAAGTCCTCTCTGCCTCTGCAGAGACTTGACTTCCTGTCTGGATAGTTTTGGTCTCCAGTAATACATCACATTCCCTACTCATTCTAAAGGTCATACCCTGGATTTGGTTTGTTGTTCTGGGGTCACCCCTACTCACTGCAAAGCCAATCTGTTCCCCCTTTCTGATCATATGCTTATTTCTTTTGATGTAAATATAATAGCTTCTAAAACATGTACTCCTCGTGACATTACATTTAGGAAAATTAATGATATTGATCCTGACATTTTCTCACCTGCTATATATGACGCTCCGTCCATTCACAGCTTCTCTCCCCTGGATGAACTTACTTTCTACTATAACGTCAACCTCCAAAACCTTCTTAACACATTTGTTCAACTCAAACACAGATCCGTTTCATTTTCTTGCTCAGCACCATGGTTTACACTCGACCTGCGTCATCTCAAAGTCAAAGGACTTCAACTGGAACACCTGTTCAAGAAAACTGGACTCACTGTACAACAATCATATTTTGTTTTATAAGGACTGCATTGTCTCAGCCAAGTCTGAATACTACTCTAGCTTAATCAGTTCTAACGAAGGTAACTCCAAGTCTCTGTTTGCCAAAATGACTAAGCCTCCAGACTCATTGCCTTCCCACATGTACTCTGCTGACTTTTGCCAGAAGTTGACCCTCTGTTTTCCCCGCTGCTCTCCTGTCATTTACTTTCAACTTTCACTCTTCCTTTCATTTCTGATGTAACAAATATTCATAAATCAAAATCATCCACCTGCCAGCTTGACCCTCTTCCCACAGTGTTGGTTAAAGCTCGTCTCCCCACATTGGTTCCTCTCATAACCACTATCGTTCACTCTTCACTTAAGACTGGAATTGTTCCTTTATCCCTGAAAACGGCTTCTGTCACTCCAATTCTAAAAAAGCCTGGTTCAGATCCTAATAATTTTGATAAACTTCACCCAATATCTAATCTTCCTTTTATTTCAAAAATCCTTGAGAAAGTTACCACCTCCCAGCTCCACTCACACCTTAATAAGCATCATTTTTATGAACCATTCCAGTCTGGTTTCCACCCCCACCACAGTACTGAAACAGCTTTATTAAGGATCACAAATTACCTTATGATAGCAGCTGATTCTAGTCTTCTCACCATTCTCATCCTCCTTGATCTCAGCGTGGCATTTGAAACCATTTCTTTTAATATCCTCCTGAACAGATTAGCATCCGTTGGCATCAGTCAAGCTCCACTTGCTTGGTTTACCTCATATCTTTCAGGCCGCACTCAGTTTATTCAATGTAAATCCCGTTCCTCAAGTTTGTTTAAGGGGGAAACGTTTCGTCTTCCATCCAGAAGACATCAATCTGCGGCCTGCCAACCAGATCTGTCCCATAAGTTTCCCAGATCTGGTTGGCAGGCCGCAGACTGATGAAGTCTTCTGGATGGAAGATGAAACGTTTCTCCCTTAAACAAACTGGTCCAGATGACATGATTTAACCTTTTTTATCATCTACCTGGATGATTGAGCCTACTGTACAACCTTTATTCCTCACGTTTGTTTCCCGTTTCTGCAGGTGTGTCCCAGAGTTCCATATTAGGGCCCCTTTGATTTATTAATTACATGTTCCCTCTTGGCCACATATTCAATAAATATAATATCAATTTCCATTGTTACGCAGATGACACCCAGCTCTACATTTCCGCAAAACCCAATTCATCTCTTCCACCTTCCTCCCTATCAGACTGTCTTATGGAAATGAAATCATGGTTTCCCTTTAATTTTCTTAAACTCAACAGTAAGAAAACAAAAGTTTTACTTGTTGGCACAGGCTCCACTTTAACCAAATCTCAGAGTTTTTCCATCAGTATTGACAACTCCCATGTTCATCCTTCCTCTCAAGGAAAGAGTCTGGGTGTCATACTTGATAGTACGCTCTCATTTCAATCTTATATTAATTATATCACCCAGTCTGCATATTTTCACTTGCACAACATTAACCAACTCTGTCCCTTCCTTACTCCTCATGCTGCTGCCATCCTTGTCCATAGCCTTATCACCTCCCAGATCGATTATTGCAACTCTCTTCTTTTTGGTCTCCCAAATTAGTCTCTCCATAAACTCAAACTCCTTCAGAACTCTGCAGCAACTTGTACCCCATCCAGAGAACACATCACCCCAGTTCTGCAACAGCTTCCCTTCACTTCACGTTCAAGTGCATCCATAACCTTGCCCCTCCTTACTCGTGTGATCTGCTGTACATCTCCACTGCTTCCCTCAGATCCTCGTCTGTCAATCATCGTATTGTTCTTTCTGCACATCTTGTCACCATGGGAACAGAGCCTCAGTCACTCTGCTCCTCGGCTCTGGAACTCCCTCCCTCCTGTCATCAGGAACTCTGACTTTCTTTAAAATCACAGCTGAAAACACACCTGTTCAAACAGGTGTATTCACTTTAACATGCTTTTAAGTGTTGTCATATCATGACTAGATAATTGTTTGTTGATTCGGTTTTTATTCATTGTTGTTTTTATTTCTTTTTGTAAGGTGACCTTGGGTTTTTTGAAAGGTGCCATGAAATAAAATGTACTATTATTATTATTATTATTATTATTATTATTATTAATAATAAACAGAGAGCTTTGCTTTACAGCTCAGCTCCTTCTTCACCACAATGGACCGGCATAGAGCCGCAAGACTGCAGACGCTGCGCCAATCCATCTGTCAATCTCACGCTCCATTCTTCCCTCACTAGTGGACAAAACCCTGGGATACTTGAACTCCTCCACTTGAGGCAGAACCTCACCTTCGACCTGAAAAGGACAATCCACCCTTTTCTGACTGAGGACCATGGCCTCAGGTTTGGAGGTGCTGATTCTCATTCCAGCCGCTTCACACTTGGCTGTGAACCGCTCCAGTGAGAGCTGAAGACCACGGCACGATGACGCCAACAGGACCACATCATCTGCAAAGAGCAGAGATGAAACCTGAGCCCACCGAACCGGAATCCCTCCGCCCGCTGGCTGCACCGAGAAATTCTCTCCATAAAAGTTGTTGAGTTTTATTGTTGTGGGTGTTCTTGATGACTTCCTGTTGTGGGTGGAGTCTCACACAAACACACACACACACACACACACACACACACACACGTTCACTTAGAGACAACCGAGTCAAACTTGACACAAGTACAATGCCCCAAACATAAAATCCTACTTTGCAGGTTACAAACTGCAGGTAATAAAAAAGCAGCCCCAACGGTGATGAGGGTCTGGTCCGTGCTGCCCGGGGGGTTCAACTCGGCAGAAGGAACGGCTGCACAGTGGCGGAGGATCCCCCCCATCGCAGGGAACATTCCCCGTGTCTGGCTGGCTCACGCCAGGAGCAATTCCTCCATGGTGCGCCACCCACCCATCAATCCATCCATCATCCATTCATCCATCCATCCATCCACCCATCCATCCATCCATCCATCCATCCACCCATCAATCATCCATCATCCATCCATCCATCCACCCATCAATCCATCCATCATCCATTCATCCACCCATCAATCCATCCATCATCCATCCACCCATCAATCCATCCATCATCCATTTATCCATCCATCCATCCATCCATCCACCCATCAATCCATCCATCATCCATTCATCCATCCATCCACCCATCAATCGATCCATCATTCATCCATCCATTCATCCATCCATCCATCCACCCATCAATCGATCCATCCATCCATTCATCCATCCATCCACCCATTAATCGATCCATCATACATCCATACATCCATCCACCCATCAATCGATCCATT